ATTTAGGTCTCCACAAAAGAGATTTTGGTTGCCAGCATGGTAATAACATGATGCTTTCAAAGGTGCATTCCCCGTTCCCAGCTCACTCTGCAAACATTTACCAGAACAAAAATAAGAAAAAGTTGGGGTCTTGGTACCAAAGAGACCTCAACCTGTCTTCCACATACATTCCCACATGCAGAGCATGGTGCAGGTGAAGGCAACTGTTACTACTTTGAAATTCTTGTTAACCTACGTCCAATAGCTATACTGAAAACACCTAAGAAAGTAACCAAAACAAGTCCATATACTTCTACTTGCAGGTAATAACTTTGCTGATTACTTCAATGTCCTGGAACTCTGAAACTCTATATTGTTCTTCCAGCTAAAGATTTGCTATGTATTACCCTGGACAGGTTTAACAAAAAGCTTACACACATATTCAGATCTGCATTATTAAAAAAAAAAAAAAAAAAAAAAAAAAAAAAAAAAAAAAGCCTGTCCTGAAGGTGTCAATGAAACATAATCAAACATAGCAGCATAATCTCAAATCATTAACTGCTTCACGAGACTTATTTAAGGTTTTAAAGCAGGCAGATACAAGAAAGACTATTCGCTTGTTTAAACAGTGCTATATTTGTCAGTATTTAGACACTAAGAACTTTTGCTACAACATCCTCCATCACCTCTTCCCTTTTAGAATATACAGGATGAACATCAAATAAACGCTTCCTGGAGATACCTGTCTCCCTCAATTGGCTCTATAATTGAACCTGCTTCAACTAAGCACCATGTTTTTAAAGTGCTCAAGGGATGTGAAATGAATCTTAAAGACTGTTTAGCTATTTACACATCTTTAGTTCTGAAATTCCAGCCTTAATCCTCCTTTCCCTAATTCCAGTAACTGGCCCCCATGATCCTGCTCAGCACCTTTGGAGAACAACAGCAGTATGTTAAAGATGGATGTACTTTTGTTGCTCTGTTCGGTAAAAGAGTCCACATCTTCCAGGCTGTACAGAAAAATAACTTAAGTCTGCTCCCTGGCAAACTGGTTCTTTATTTAGTTTCCACAGTGTAATTTTCAAAAATGTCCACGTGAAAATGCAAGCACGTGCACTAAGGATTATTTTGACACATGGTATCCATCATTTGGATTTACTAATTTTCCAAAATAAACTGTTTTGGCAGTTTCCCTGTGCATGTGAATTTTTGAGTAAAGGCAATGTGTAATGTTACAAGACACGTTCATGTGCTGACCTTTCACAAAACCAAAATTGTTAATAAAGCTGAGGTGGTGGGAAGTGCTCCATTTTCCTTTTGGCCACCAGACTAAAACACCCACATTAGAAGAGATACCAACCGTCATTAGCTCGTGGCCTAGATCTGCCACCTCACATGAGTGATTGGCCTGAGGACCCAGTGTTAATGAAAGTTACTTGAACAACAAAATGTTTATATAACCGGATCCTTTCAGAAAATTTATCTTCGTAAGACATGCACAAAGCAAGCCCATGCAAATAACGGTAACTAACTACAGTTTATTTCCAGATCTAATTCCAGAGGCTCTATGTTCCTTTAGTTTGGCACAGGTATTTTTACACAGCATACACCCAGCCAAGTTTCGTGTATTCCTTCCTATTCCTATAATCAGAGCTTAACCCCCTACTTCTATACAATATCCCCTGCTACTTCCCATTCACAGGATATTTATACATTTGGTTTATTGACACACTGAATTCTTCCTTACCTGATATCTTTTTGAATGCTTTTTATTTCCAGTTAAATAAAAAACACACCGGATTTGAACGTATCCAGATAACAAAACTCTAACCTTTATATATATATATATATATCCGTCCAGTGACTGGTGGACTTAATGAAATTTAACCTTGGTAAAGAGACATTTGGACTGCAAATCATGTGAAGCCTGTGAAGCCTCAGCATGCTCCCCCCTACCAGTCCACAGAACAAACATAACTACAATTCCCCACTGCACTTGAGTCTCCCTTCTGGAAAGGGCTCATTCCACTGCACGCTTTTTCAAGGAAATTTGCCTAAGATCAGTTGGTGTGCATTCTACTTTGACCAAGTCATGGCTCACATTTTTACACAAAAGCTTTTACAACACTTATGTATGCTGTCTCATAAAACTGACCTCTATTTGAAAGAGAGCTCATAATAAGGTCTTTAAACAATACAATCTAACTTTTAAACACATTGCGATAAAACTAACTTTTCTTCATTTAGGCTGGTTTCCTAAGGGGGGGCAGTTTGCACAATCACATGCTCTATCCTTCTTTCTGTCATTAAATTTTGAACCCACCCACTCATTTCAACAAATGCAATGGAGACAAAACAGCTATAACACCAAGACATGCTTTGTTACCGCAAACCCTTAAGAATCTTGCCTTGTTCCTTCTTCTTCCTCCAAAGGCAGGAAGAAGCTGCAAAGAAGCAACAGCAGTTACCACCTCCAAAGCACCAGAGCACAGCAAACCTGTCTCATCAGGTCTCTGCTCCCCAGCTCAACCTTAATTTCCCATTCCCTTCTTGGATATGGCCCAAGGTCTGTCCTATACCTTGAGGTAGTGAAATCCAATTTCCACTGCTGAAAAACCTTTAACTGGTAATGGGCAATCCTGGTACCTCTCCATGAATTACGTTAGCGAGGTAGAACTTCCTGCTTTGTGTACTTTTCATTTCCACTTTTCAGCAGCACTGTTGTTCAGAACAGGCAAAACACTCAAGGGGCTGAAAATACATCTTTTTTGACCCAGTTTCTGGGCACACAGCTCTGGACAAAAAACATTGGAACTGTCAGGGATCTTCATCAATTTAAGTCCATGTTTAGAAAATACCTCTGAAAACATAAAATACTAACACTGAGCAACTTTTAACTAGGAATTGCTCCCAGAACTAACCAGAACCCTTCCACAGTACTTGCAGCATAGCCTGGATCTGCACTCCTCATCCTCTCTTATTGGCTGCTGGGGCTGCACAATACCAACTAAAAGCACTTCTCTAAGAGGGAAAAATTAATTTATCTTATTAAAAGCATGTTTTATACAGAAATAAAGAAACACTCCTTAAACAGTATACTCAGCCTTCACAGCAGAATGAAGTTCATTCTGGAAGAACAGAGAATTTCCCACCCACACGGCCCCAGAGCATGCCTGCCAAGGACATCTGACTTTGTACCTATTGTATTACTTGACACAGTAATAGGGTTTAGTGATTTCGGTTTGCAGTTTCTGGCAGGACCCCCAAAGTAATTTTCAATTAAAAGATTAAATGCTGGTACTTGTCAAATGTGAAGACATATGATGCCGTAACAATATGAAACAGCTTCCTCACAATTAAATTAATTTCATCAGGTATTTAAGTAGGGCTTGCAAATATTATGCCTTTGGGTAACTTGACTAAATGCCTAAATGAAGTGCAATCATTTTTCTGTCATGACTGTGTCTCAAGTGGAATACAAGCTTGGCCTTCAAGTTCTTTCAACTAAATGATTCAAATACATGTAGGTTCAACAAATGTTTGAATATTTCTGTTTCCGTTAATAGCCCTTTTTTTGTTAAATTAGCAAAAAATAACATTTTTTCCCAATAAAACCATGTCCCCCTACCCCCTGAAACATGGATGTTTTTAGCTATGAATAAAAAATAGTGATGTTTTCAGATAATCACACAAAGAATCAACAGAAGCAGCAAGTTTGTTGATTTATTCAGGCAGTGCTGAATAAATTAACCTCTTCCCCCTTCCAGGTTAACTTTCTTCTTGTCAAAATGTAAGTTAGAATTATTTCTCTTTTATAGGTCCATATAAAATTCTGGGGAAATAGACCACACCTGAGGAAAACACAATAAATAATAGATAACTTCTGGGCATTTAAGGTTACACCCAGTAAATTCAAGAACAACACCTTTGTAGTCTTCAAGAAATATATGACTGGGCCTCCAATTATTATATCTAATTTGATAGAGGAGTGGGAATTATGACAATATATGAAAGCATATTTAGCAGGAATTTTGAAGCAGTCTGGGCCTGTGGCTAAGGCACTGGGCTGGATTCAGAAGATGAACTAAAAAGACATTTGTAAGTTTCACTGGATCTAACATTTTTGCAAGCAATTAACTTCTATATTTTTCAGTTTCCTCAGGCGTAAAGGGACAATAACAATGTTTACCCAAATTTGAAATGTATCTGGACATCTGTCAATAGAAGGCATTTCATTTTTAATTTAATTCATTTTCAAATCTATTAAGTTATAAATATTCTCAAGTGCAGCACGTATTGTTTTAAGAGGTCAATGCTAGCTAGGTCTACATATTGTTTTAAGAGGTCTATGCTAGGCATAGCAAAGATGCTATGCCTGGGTCATTGTTTGAATTGTTGCAGGATTAAAAAAAGCTTTGACTCAGCAAAGTCTTACAAAAGCATTCAATGTAAATGATGGGGTTATACTTGTATTTAAAATTAAGCATATATATGACTTGTGTGTTTAAATGCACAAGTTCAGCTTGGCTGCAGTAAACATACTGCACACAGAAACATAGCAAGAGTAAATCTTTATTTTCCTGTGCAGATGTAGGTGACAGCCACCCCCCACCATAGCCCTGTAACTTGTCCTCCATTCATCAGATGGTATGTTTATTTTTGCTGTATGTGATGTGACTAGCAGAACTTAGGCAATGAAAACTTTTTAATCAAGTGAAGATCTTTTGAAGGAAAAAAAAAAGAGAGGACCTGCTCCACTTTCTAGAATGCAAGGTCAAGAGTTATATACACACGTTTAGAGACTAGTTTCATTTAGTTAAGTTTATAATTAAGAAGAAGAATCATTCCTTCTTACAACCTGTGAAACCCACTGCCACACAGAGTCACTGAAATAATGTTCTGGCAGTAACAGAAACAAAACCATGTAAGTATATGATCATTAATAACCTGACTTAAGCAGATTGTATCAGGAGTAAATCAGAAAGCAGCTCATTTTATCTGATGCACAGAACTAATCTTACCTCCAGATAAACCAGTGCAGAATTGTATTCTTATGCACTCCCCTACCAGCAGGGTAACAAGGTTTTCAACCAGTAGATACACGAGCAGTCCTGTCTTACAGTACCTAGCAGAAAGAGAGATTCAGAAGTCAGTCTCCTGCTATTAGGAATTGTCACTCCTGCATCACATTATATGATCAGAGTGCAATAAAAACTAACAGTAAGTTGGAGCGAAACATACAGTTACTACAGAGTAAGAGAGGTGGAAAGGTAGCGGAGATTTTTGAAGGATTAACTCAGTTCACCTTAGTTTTATCAACTTCAGTGGGGGATACTATCTTACACTTACTGCAGAACAAAGACACAAGACTGGAAACAGCCCTACCTCTGCAAAACATTCCCCTAGGGACACAACCTTCTCCAAGCCCCTTAACTCCTTCTTTCACTCCTGGGAAAATGCCCTGGTGAACCATGGGACATGTGATCCTGTCTTTAAAGTACTAGCAGCATTTATTAGTGGTGGAAATGAGTTATTCCTACACTCCAAGGAATAGGAAACTGGGGAGGAAAGATAAACTATATATTTGTTCCTGATTTGTTATTTATTTTCCTTGTTTTTCCTGCTTTATTTCCTTCTATTCCTTCTCCATACAAGAAGAGGCAGAATATGCTGATTTCTTTCCTGCTGTCCAGGCTCAGTTAAAGAAATGCACTAAAGTTTACAGGAGGATTAAAACCAAATATGTCATGGGAGAAGGAATGGATGAAGCACAGATTAGAAGAGAAGATGATACCTGAAATTTAAAGGAGACAGGGCAGTGAAGCTGCCCAGATGTCTTCACCAGTGCAAGGCACAGCTGTAGACCAAGCACTGAACTATTTTAAATGATGAGAAGAAATGGCAGTCAGAACTTCTGACAGTCTTTTCTATTCTGCCTCTCTTAATTCCTATGTACATGCAAAACTGCTTTTTTTGTTTGTTTGTTTGTTTTGTTTTTTTTCCTTTCTTGTTTTTTAAGCAAAAGCAAAAAATCAGAACTAGTTTTCTTCCTCCTTCAGAGCCAACAGTAAGTTTGCTTTGTCATGGCCCCAGCCACACTGCCACAGTAGTGTGCGATATCTTTTGGGATAGTAAATATCTTCTGGGCCTAGTAAAGTGATTTTACTCACAGAAATCCTTCAATTTTCAGGCTATTAGGAAGCACTGATTGAACAAGTAACACAAACCTGATGAAGTACTTTACACAGTGGGCAGCATGCTTCCAGACTTCACTGCTACAGGAGGTGGCAAGGAGTGTATCAACAGACTCAGAAAGAGCTCAGGCTAGGTCATGGACAACAGGTCCATAAATGGATATACAATGAATATTGGTGGGCTGTACACTCTAATACTCCTACTACAACTGTAGGTGCTGGGAAATCTGAGAATGGATCACCAAGTGGCTAGGCTCATAGAACTCTATCTAGAGTGTCTCTCACTGCAACTGCACAGAGTTCATTCGATTCAGTAAGACATTTTTCTTGTTATTTAGATGATCTTATGAAAACAGACACTTTTTAAACTATTCAGTAAGGAAATGTTACCTGACACATATACCAAAAGCTTCAATTCACTTGAAACAGGTCAGACTATTTGTGAATCATGCAGACGAAGTGGGATGCTAGACGAGAGGTATGTAGAAATGTCAGAATGCATTAACCTGCATTGTATATAGATAAGGAAGGCGTAAAAAAAAAAAAAAAAAAAAAAAAAAAAAAAAAAAGCAATATTTCTGTGTATAATTTGGAAGATCTGATCATGTTTACCTGGAGTAATGTGCACTGGTATAAATACTACGAGGTTTTCACAATTCAGAAGTTGTCCCAACTGCCTAAGTCGTACAAAGCAAAAGCTTCACACGCAAAACAATTACCATGTCAAACCAGCACGCAAAGTTTGAGACTGTGGGTTCTACAAGTCTTTAGGAGACATAACATTGAGAAAAACATCACCATCCTTCCTGTGAGTAATTAGCATAGCAAGTTCCCTGAACAAAAGCCCTTCTTTCAAGAGAAGTTCTCCCCAAGCCACAAGGAGCATAGAAATATACCATCTTAAGTTTTTCAGGATATATTACAAACACAGCTGTACAAACGTTAGCATATGAAGAAAAAAGAATTTTAGCCAATTAGCACGTGAAACACCATTTAAAAGCCCCTTTGGTGTCATTTTTTGTTTCAATCAGGAAAATCTAAATTTCAATTGTAACTATTCCGAGATATTTATTTTATGGTAAGCCACTTTTCAAAAGTTTGAATCTACTTTGCTTTCATTGAACAAGATGTTTCTAAAATAAAACATCTGGCTAAAAGAAGAAGAGGAGCTTTGGCACTGCTGAGCTTTAAAAATCCTACATATAGGAAGCTATGGTAACACACACATCAAAAGGAGAAAAAGATAAGGATAAAAGCCATCATGGGCTTAATCCTGCCAGCAGGGCAATTGTTTTTCATCTGAAATATAAGTATTACAGCAGCTTTTAGAGGATTTCAAAGGTACAACTCATCTTAACCAGCAAATATAAAATGCTGATGGACATCTATATAAATTTCCACACAGCATATTTATTTTCATACCCTGCCGCATTCTATTCTTATGAACGGGCAGTATTATGAGACTCTTCTTTGAATGCTGTGTCATTCCGATTAGACCGCGAATATGTTGACAATTTCATCAACCAGATTTTGGCTGCATTTAAGTTAAGAGAGTCCTTTTAAAACGACAAGATTATTCTGATTTCAAGATGCCTTCCTTCCCTGGCTGCTCAGAGAGAGACGCATGTCAAGAAGGACTGTAGCAAAGGTATTTTTGAGAAAGTTGTAAATACAAATTAAACTGAGAACATGAAATATTTTCTTTGCTGAGAAGTATAAATGCCTGCTCCATCTAAAATGCATTAAGTGGAATAAACACATTATTTGTACTGTTAACCAGTTAAAAATGAATGTTATAAAAATAAATGGTGCCAGAGCATGTGAAAATCTGGAATAAAAGTTGACACCACTTTCTCCTCTGTACACTTCTTTTAGCTAGTCTTTCAGAGGGGTAATGATAGATGACCCTTAATGCAGCTTTAATGCCTTCACTTTCAAAACCATAAGGATTTGTTAAACTTTGTGGCCTTCCAGAAAATGTTCTTTTCCCTACAGCATCAAGAATTGATCTACTGCACCGAAAATATCTTACTGTATTACTGATTCTCAAGTTTAACCACCAAATCAAACCCAAAATCTCATGCAGTTCCTACGTGCTATTTTAAACGCTGCTACATAAATGAGAACCAAAGCAGAGTATCTTAGGATCATGCAAGAAAATATAAAGCTTCTCCATAGGACTTTACCATCAGCTTTGTCCACAGAAAAGCACACTGTACTATTCTTCTAATAAGCTGATCCAGCTCTGTGATAGAACTAGTTAGTCCTCCTTAGTCCATCCCACTATGCTTATTCCAGGACCAAGTTCTTCAGCTAGTTAGAAATCTAAACTGCAGATCAAATTTCCTCATGACCAGTCTGCACCCATTTGTTTGTGTTTAATTGCTGTCTTTTGAGCAGCACTGCTTTTCTGACGTTTTCTCCCATGGATGTATTTATAAATCACATCATCTCAAATTTCATTTTGCTAGGCTAAATAAACCATTGCTGATTTAGTTTCTTGCAGATAATCTTATCATTCCCATGATCCTGATAACTCTTCTGTGGATTTGTTGCAGCTTGAGTTCCTTTTTTTCCAACAAGGACAATTGGAGTTGAATGTGGTATTCAGATACAGCTTTATTGTGCCTTATCAGACACAAGTGTGTCTTTGACCAAGTATTTCCAGTTGAAATAATTTCAAATCCTTACTTCCCTTTTGTTCCTGGATCATATTGCTGGCTACCAGTTGTGCTGTGATCACCCAGTATACTCAGGTTTGTCCCTTTCTCTGTTGTTTTCAAACAACAAGCTCCCAGTTTAAATGAGAAATTGTCAGTGATCACAAAGTGCCTGACCCTGCACTTCATTCCATTAACTTTCAGCCTGTTCCTATTACTCCCATCCTAGAGGTCATTTATCTCTTACGTAAGATATTCTTGCCCTTTCTGCATCAGCAATGGGTCCCAACTGTATATCCTCATCAAATTTCCTCAACATTCACTGGCTTTTTATGCCAAAGTCATTAATAACAGCATAAAACACCTCCAGTCCCCAGACTGATCATCAAGGAGCTTCATTTGTAACCCTCCTTCCTGCCCAACTTCCCTCAGCAGAACCCACTCCCACCTCTCCGTCAGAGCCCCACGTTACTCACAGTGCCTGTACAAATCCCCTCCTCCTCCAGCCCAACTAGGAACCGCTGCTGCTCTCTAGCAAATGCTTTGCTGCAGAACATCTACAATTAATTTACCTTTTCTAGATGAGCTGTTATTATAACAAAAAATACCTGCTTAATAGGCTACAATCTAACTTTGGCAAACCCATCTCACGTGGTGTCACCTTTTTTCCCTCTATCTTTAATTATATGTTGTCTTTAACATTTGTTCTCAAGCCTTGTGAGCACATTGTATCCCCTACAGAGGAAGTACAGAGTGGCACATAGATTCAGACACTTTCTGTGAGCCTATTTCTTTTTTTCCCCTCAAGAAGCTCAGTAAATATTGGGAGAGCACAGAACAGTTTCTAATCTATCTAATCTCAGCTTTTCTGCCACTGGATTAGAGGACTGAGTTTATGCCACAGAGATTCCTCCACACTTGCTAATTCTAGAGCATTTAGTTGTGATCTTTACTAGAAAGAGCTGACAGAGATATGAGAAAGCTTCTACATAATGTGAAATTAAATGATATTTTAATTTGGAAATATGGCTGAACAGGGCATGACTAGTCATTATTTTTTCACAATAAAAGAATAAAGTATGAATAGCAGGTAAAATCATGTAAAAAAAAAATGTTGCTACAGGATATGAGGAAGTCAAAAGTAAAAATGTCTAATGAAAGGGATTCGATCAGTTCATGAAAGATAAAATGTCTATCTCTTAAACACAATAATTCAGCACAAGATAGTCTTGAATTGCCAGCTTCCAAAATTTGAGGCCTTGCAAGAAAAAGCCTCTGCTGCATTAAATGGATATTTGCTCTGACATTGTGGTTCTTTCTGTACAAAATGTTTGAGTGGAACACCAAATACAATTAATTCATTTCATGATCTCCAATTGTATCATTCATGTTGCTGAAGAGAACCCAGGCTCTTTCATCAATTCATAGGAAATATCCCTTAGAAATTAGTGGAACGCATTTCCTTACTCTAACCATCCACCCACACAAAATTCCAGCAGACTGTACAATCCCGTCCCATTCTGCTTCCCAGTACTTCACTCAGCTCTCTACCGAAGTGAGCTTGGTCCCTCACCCCTCTCACACAGCACAGAAAGCATTTCATCCCCTAAACTGTAACATTAATTGT